CCCCTGGCTCTGCCTCTCCCTCCCTGCTCTTCCCTTTCTGCTATTAATAAACAACTCGACTGAATTATGTATATATGTATGTAAGCATGCATATGTATGCATTATGATGCCCATATTCAGCTGCAGTTGCATGCACCTGTTTGCATTTAGCTGCTTACCTGGATCTGCCTCTGCCTCTGCCTCTGCCTCTGCCTCAGCCTCTGCCTCTGGCTCTGCCTTAGCCTCCGCCGTTTGCTTTTTGTTAAATTGTTCCTTTGTTTTAACGTGAAAATTTTTGAATTTTTCATTTCTTTTATTTTTACCACTATATTTTGTTCGTTTGCTTGTTCTATTTCTCTTCTCCCTATTTTCTTTTTATTTTTATTTTTTGCTGGCCACCTTTTGTGGCATGCGGCTGGCTGCTTTATTCAGTGCATTTGTTTGCATATCAAAATGCGTGAAATGTATGCTGCCGCTTGCGATGGCAAATGGGGTGGGCGGGCCGGTGGGCCGGCAGGCCGCAGTTGCAGCCGGTGGGGCCAAGGCGAACGCTTTGTTCGTCAGAGCCAACTTATTAGCGGCGCTTGGCTCAGCATTTTATATGCATAGAAATGTAAACGCTTCCCGGAGTGCGAGCTCTGCCTGGCCGCAGGTCGCAGGTCGTAGGTCGTAGGTCTCTAAATTTATGTGCACTAACATATAAATATACATGCAGTTAGCTAGCCATGAGCTAAGCCAGTTTTTAGTGCTCGCACTGCCCACACACACATATTTGGCTTAGCAAAAACACCAAATTAACTTGGCCCGCAGCTAAAGCCATGAAACAACGAACAACATTATATGAGAAAAAAGCAAATGGTAACTAATTCAATTGTGAAGAACTCATGTGAGCCAGCGAGGAGCGTTTCGTGAGTTGCCAAACAAATTGTGTTAAGTAAGAAATATATTAAATTGTATATCTATATTAGAGCTGCTCTCTCACTAAGACTAATTCCGACATAGTTCGTTAATCACGTTGATTTAAGCCTTCAGATGTTTTTCGGATACGGTTGAAGTCTATAAAATGTTAAGTGGGCTGTCCAACTTTTAACAGCTATCAACATACTTTGCATGAGCTTTAAAAGGTGCAGCTTAATTTTGGATGAGCGCAATCGGCGTTGAGGGATCTGGGCTGTAGGCTGAACTGAACCGCCCGTCGTGGCTAATGGCCAGGACTAAGCTGATATCCCGCAGCAGCAGCAGCAGTGGCAGCGGCAGCAGCTAGTGCTCAACAACTTTTATTCGCACCTTATGGCATTTGGACTTAGACATAAGTAAGTCTGTCAGCATGTGTGTGCGAGTGTGCATGTGCATGTGTGTGTGTGTGGCGCTTGCTGTGAGGGGATTATGCGGCAAAAGGCAAAAGCGTCGACAGAGCTATGCGGTCAGCAGGTGAGTTCAGCAACGTACAATTGTGGGTGTGCAGCTGTGTGTGTGTGTGCTTGGCTTTACTGCGCGTACAACTAAATGCAAGCATTATTTGTAAGTATGTGTGTGTGTGTGTGTGTGCTTGGCTTTACTGCGAGTACAACTAAATGCAAGCATTATTTGTAAGTATGTGTGTGTGTGTGTGTGTGTGTGGGTTGGCTAATACCTTTTTATGACCGTCATATGTTAATGCGGCTTCATTAACATTTTAATGTCCTTCGGCCCCAATAGCAGCAGCAGCTCAGCTAGCTGACACACACCCTCCCCTCCTCCCCCCTCCCCTTCACTCCTCTTGCTCACTTACTCACTCTCTTTCTGCTTTCATTCATTTAATTAAAAAATGCAATTAAGTTAAAGAAAATAAACCGTTTGAAAATGAAAGCCAAATAACATAATTTGTTCTTTTTTCTGTAAAACTTTTTCTCTTCTTATTTTTTACCTGAATGCTATTGTCTCCATGCTAAAGCCAACAAGCTACAACAACATTCAAATCGTTGGTAAACAAATTTCTCACTGACCCGGCGACAGCAGCCACCCGCAGGAGTCGCGCCAAGTGCTGGTGGGTAAACGCGTAAAGAGTTTGACGAAAAAGTAATTTTAAGCATCGTTTAATTTTCATTTTGTGTAACATTTTATTTTTATTTTTTTTTTTTCACATTTTTTGTTTGCTTGTTTTTTTTCTGTGTAACTTTTTCGCTTTGGCCTTTTTTTCGCTCAATGGACATTTGAGCAGAAAAATCTCACAAAAGTGCGTACTTTTTAACAAAGTTAATTTTTACGCTTTGCTTTCCGCTGTTGTGTTGCTCACCTCCACCTGCTGCTGCTTCGTTTGTTGGCTTTTTTTCTGTTTCGTGCTGCAGTCTGTAAAAAAAGAGCAGCTTCACAAGTTTCGAAGGGGTTGTGTGTGTGTGCGTGTGTGAGTGTTTTTTTAGGCTGCCAAATGGCACAGCCAAAGCACTTCAATTATACTCGAGAAGGTTAAGTGAAGTCGTTTGACTCGCGGCTCTTCACAACTAATTGCTATGTGCAAGGTCGGTGCAGGCAACGCGGCGTATGCGCAATTATTGACGCTTAACATCTCGGCCAATGAATTGTGTGCTTATGCTATTAGAAGCTTATACACTTAATAGCTAGATGCGAGCGTTACCTATGCGCATAATACCTGCAAATCAAGTATGACACTGTAATGAGCCGTTGAGTGAGAAACACTTTCATCGATATTCATATGCCCAAAATTGTTGTCATATGAGACATTGAGATGCACTCCAAAGAGAAACACAAATGCTCGATAATTAATTCATTAACTAATTACGGCGTCAGCTCGTTGCAATAATGCGAATGGGAATCGAAAAAGAGAGAAACTAACTACACATGCTTGCAAGTCACACGTCGCCACATCCCCAGATACTTGGCCGTGTTATTCCCCAGCGCTAATCTGCAATGGGAATCAGCCAACAAGCAGGGCAAACACAGAGCGCACACAGTGGCTCTGATTTGTCATTCGGCGTGACTTTTGGCACGCATCTACCAGAGCACACACAGAGACAGAGAAACAGAGAGAGAGACAGAGAGAGTGAGAAAGGGAGAGGGAGATGAAGATAGAGCAGATACTGAGGGAGATAATGCAACGCCTTGCCCTTGCACTGGTCAAGCGTCAGTTGCCAGCTTCTCCGGCCGCATCCAGCATAGCTGCAGCAGGTGTGAGTGTATATGTGTGTGAGTGTGTGAGGGGTTCTGTTTGGTGCAGCGCAAATGCAATTTGCATATGCATGAGACTGTGGCCGACATTTTTGCAAATGTAAGAGGTGCAAATGACAGAAACCAGGGAGTGCGCAATGATTGCGACGAACGCAACCAGCGAGCTGACCAAGCCAAACAAAAAAAAGAAAAGCGTAGCATACTTTTCAGCGCCAGCTTAAAGCCAAGACTTTAAGCAACGCTCGAGCTGGCATAGGGGATGGGCGGCTTGAGCGAAGCAGCGTTGATTCTCATTTTGCAAGCTGACTGCTGACTGTTTTATGTAATACAGATGCTGCTGCTGGCTCTGCTGCTGCTGTTGCTGCTGCCACGCCCACTACAGTTTTTAATTAGTCATTTGCGTTGAAAGAGAACGAGAAGCGAGCGAGATGAATATGCAAACGCACCTGCTTCTTGTTTTTGCCGCTTCTCTAATTTAGCACAGGCTGCGCGTTGCGTTTCCGCCGCTCCACGCACCAGAGCCATCAGCAGTGGGTGGCTCTGCCGCTGGCCGTACCCATTTTGTGTTATTGTTTTTAATTTGAAATTCTTGAGAAGTTGTAAATTCATTACTTATTCACTTGACAGGCGCACAAAAAAATAAGATAAAAATGTAAATTAAATTAGTAACTTCAGTGCGTCTGTCAAGTGTTGCTGATTTATTTGCTAGTGGCCGCGCTCGCCAAGTCCAAGTCATGGCCCTGCCCCAATTCTCCAGCTGAAAGCCCCAAGCCGTGTTGCCTCCCAAGGCTCAACTTGACCTTCAAACATTGCCCGGCAAACTTATATGCGCACTCACACACACACACACACACACACACACTTAGTCTTGGCAACTAACTTTATTGCATACATTTTTAAATGCCAAAGGAGAAAGCAGGCTGGGGTAATGCTGGAGCAGATATAAATGTCACTAAAAATATTGCACGACTCTCGACTCTCGGCGCCGCTGCGATTGTCCCGCTGCGTGGCTGCAATCAGCCAAACTTGGCTCTGTCTGCGTCAAGATAAATGCACAAGTTCATTTTCGGTTCCACAATGCTCTACGAAAAACCCACAGCGCCGACAACAGGCGCTCACAGGCTTAACTCACTGAATAGCAGCATCTTACAAATATTCTCCAAGTATTCTGCATAAAATTATATTGTACTATAAGTTAATTTTAACAGCTATATTTTTATTTTATTTATTTATTTCTTTTGCCTATATACACTTATAGTTAAAATTAAAATAAATAATAATCAAACTTCTTATTACATAGTTATATAATTTTATTTCTTTTAGAAAATTATTAAAAAAATAAATTTAAAAAAAAATAAATAAAAAAAAAAATAAATAAATAAAAGTAAATAAATACATAAATAAATGTGTTTATAAATTTTTGTATATATTTATTTATTTATATTTATTTTTCTTTCACAAAGTCGAATTAAAAAAAAAAAAATTAAAAAAAAAAAAAAAAATTTCTGTTATTTTTTCCATTTATGTGGACTATATAAATACTATATTATTGAATATAATATAAAATTAATCAAATGTATTCATATTTAGCTACATAAAAATAATTTTAAAATATTTGCATTTACTTATTGACTAAATTTTCTGGTTGATGCGTACTTTTATTTTAATAAAAGAAAAAATATTTTGTTTTCTTTCGATATAAAAATATTACTAGACATCAGATCAGAAAATCTTTATAAATAATATGTATATATTTTATTTATATTTAAATAACACGTTATTCCAGAAAATCTTGTCAATAAATAAATAACAAAAAATTCAAAATACTATTTTTTTAAGTAAAAAAATGTGCAAAAGTATATTTAAAAAAAAAAAAAAAAATTGGAAATTAAAGCGTATTTAGCAAGTTGCTCTGCGCTCTACTAACACCCACACACTCCATTGTGGTATTCGGTAGCAAGGAGCAGAAGAAAAAAAGATGTTGTTGATGTTTGCTGCATGCCACGAGCTTTGCGAGCGCGTTGCATATTTGCCTTAAACTTTTGCGGCAGCAACGGCATACACGCTGACGCAGACACGGACCGGAAGACGGACGGATGGGGAGGCAGAGTAAAAGAACGACAGACGCGCAGTTAGATACTCGGAGAGACAGTGACTCGCAGTCAGACAAACAGACAAGCAAAAGTTGTGACATACCCCACAAACAAGAGCGTATAAAGATACTAAGGGAGACGGTGAGTTGGGAGGGAGGGAGAGGGAGAGCGAGCGGGACTAAGTCGCATACCAACACCTAGAGTTGCGTAGCTGTTGTTGCTGCTGTTGTTATTGCTAGTTGCTAGTTGATGTTGCAGCACGAACAAAGTTTCGCTACTACTTGCAACCAACTTGACTACGCTTTGTGTTTACTTTGCTGGCAGTGAGCGAAACTTTTGTGCCACGGAGCACAGAGATTCATTTCACATGTCACAGTTGAGTAGAAAAAATATTTGTGCACATTCTGCTGAGCAAACAATTTCCCTTTAATTAACATTAAATCAATCTTTGATGCATACAAGCTCCACACCAACCGGCACATCATGTATGTAAACAAGGCACTCAACAATTTATGCGCCCATTTTCTCTGCCTTACCTTTTTTTACATTCTTGGTTCGCTCTGGCTGAATTTTTGGGTGAATTTGGTTTGTCTCTTATGCCAGACAGTTTTGTTGATATTGAGATTTTCTTGACTTGGCTCAAGTTTCAAAATATCGATTGATATTCAGGAGATCGAATGGACTTGGTATGGGAGTGTATATGTGTCTGGGCTTTAAGGAACTGCAAAGGTATTTCATATTAGTCTGCGATATTGAGTGAGCTAGAACTTCTTCATTTACATATGCAAGTCAAATGGATTGAGTGTCGACTTGATCATAAATCAAATGTTCCGAATGCGCTTTCATTATCAAAAAGTGCTTCAAAAATTGGTAAATATTTTGCGCACGCTGTGCGAATGGCGCTGTGCGTGCCAAATATTTACAGTGCGTATGCGTAATTTTTAATTGATTTGGCCGCAGCGCAAACAAAGCACTCACACGGACACACACTAACACAAACACACATACATGTGCAGTCAATGGCAATGGGTCACGTAGTGTGCGTGTGCCAGAGGCAATTTGCTGTGGATAGGGGTGAGTCAATAATGTGCGCTGTCTGCTGTGCCCCTGCCTCTCTCCGTCTCTTTCCCTCTCTCTCTCTCTCCCTCTCTCTCTCTATTCTTTTATGTGTGTGAGCTTTGCACCCATTATATTCCCCAATTTGTGTGTTTATTGTATAAATTAAAGCCCATTGCAAGCATATTGTTTATTTAGTGGCTCTAGCACACACTCACACACACACGCACACACACACAGGCACACATTTGATTTGGTACGTGCAGCGTTTTATGCAATTGAAAACATTTGTTGCATATTCACTTCTTTGTCACTTAATTACCATGCAATAAAATGCAAATTTACATTAAGATCAAACTGTTCCGCATGATGAGAGTCGAGTGCCGCATATGCTCCGTATAATTATGATTGTCCGCCATTGCGCCTAATTACAATGGGCAATGCATAAGCAATGCATAATCAAATGCTCAAGAGTTTCTGCCAGAATTAATAGCATATAGGTTCAATGGGCAGCAGGAATGAAGTGGCACTAGAACAGGCGGCAGCATGATGTAATTACTAAAACTAAAGAAAAATTAAAATTATTTCGATTAGATATAAGAATTTAAATAAAAAAAAAAATAAATAAATAAATAAAAATTAAAAAAAAAAAACATTATAAAATATATTGGAATATTTAATAAAACTACAAATGTAAATACAATTGTAGTAGGCCTTTTATTTAATTTCTTTATTTCATAATTTCTTAATATACACACGTCTGCTATGGTTCACATTCAAGCTTAAAATGTATCGATCCTCCTCTTTCTATTACTCAAAATGGCATGTTGCATATCGACAGCCTCCTCAGCCACCAATATGGTTAACTATCGATAGATGTGTATCTATCGATGGTTAACCATAATGCTGTTAACTTAAATCTAATATAACATAGGCTAGTAACCAGCTACAGTATACATAGGCTAGTAGCCTGCTACAATTCGGCCATCCTGACTCTGAGATAGCCCTCTATCTCTGTTAATTTTATATAATATTTGATACTTAACTTCCTAAAAATAATATTGTGTTTACATGTTTGATACAAAAAAAAAAAATTCTTACCGATATTCTATTTACATGTTATAAAAATTAAATTATTAATTAAATGTTACACACTAGTTATGAAATTAATATCTAAAATATAAGTTATTATCTCTCTTATGCTTTTATCCAATGTCTTATATTGCTTGCACTCCAAACACCTTGATAAGGATTCCTGGATAATTGGAAACCGTCAACGTCTTTTATCAAATACCTATCGTTCTTCAGTACTTTATCTATGACATATGGTCCTTTGGATTTAGGTATTAATTTCCTTGATATTCCCACCGTGTTGTCAAAATTCTTAACCATTACATAATCTCCTGGCTTGTATACTTTTGCAGCTTTCCTAGCATTATTAAAGTTCTCTTCATTCCGTGTTTGTGCTGCAGATTGATAATGTTGTGCTTGTTCTCTAATATCTTCTAAATTCTGTGAACTGCATATATCTAATCCTATTATTTTCTCTAATTGCTCTCCTAAACTATCACTAATTTCCCCTTTTTGCGCTATTCCGAATAACATTACGCTTGGCAATTGCTTGGTGCTACAATGTTGAGTGTTATTCAAAACATATTCCACCCTCTCACTTATTGAATCCCAATGCTGTCCATTATCACCTTCTATTAGTTTAGCTATCATCGGACCTAAACTTCTGTTTATTCGCTCCACCTGACCATTCGCTTGTGGCGATCCCGTTGCAATCCTAATATGCTTTACCTTTGCTTCTTCTAAAAATTGGTCAAACTCCGTTGACGTAAAACAACTTCCTCTATCTGATATAATACATTCTGGCTTACTGTATGTTCTAAAATATTCTCTCAATGCCTTTACAACTTCCCTAGTGCTTGTTGTTTTAGTAGTGAATAATCTGACAAACTTTGTAAACCCATCTACTACTGCAAAAATGTATTTCTTTGATCTGCCGTTATCCACTGGTCCATAATGGTCAATATGAATTATTTGGAACGGTTTATTCCCCTTTGGAATGCTATGCAGCAACCCTTCTGCTTTGCCCGTTCTAGGCGAGAATGCTATGCATTGCAAACAATTTTCAATATGTTCTAAAATTTTCTTTTTCATATTGGGAAACCAATATGATTTACTTATTGCATTAAGCATCTTGTCCCTTCCAACGTGCCCTAATTCATTGTGATATTTGTACAATACATGTTCTTCCATCTTTTCTGGTACATAAAATAGTAGTCTATCATCATTTGTCTTCCTAAATATAACACCATTTCTCATTTCAAATAATTTATGCTCTTGTTTCTCTAACAATTTTCTAATTTCTTGTAACTTTGCATCTTTCGTCTGGCAAATAATTAAATTAGTCTCAAAACTATTTGCTTCTGTTACCATAATGGTATTATTATATCTACTTAATGCATCTACATGCTGCATTTGACTTCCAGCCCTGTGCACTAATTCATAATCAAATTCTTGCATTTCCAATGCCCATCTTGCAATTCTAGGGTTAAGATCTATTTTATTCAAAGTTAAAGTTAAAGAATTACAATCCGTTACTATTTTAAATTTTCTGCCTTGCAAATATATTCTAAATCTCCTAAGTGCATTAATAATGGCTAAAGTTTCCAGCTCGAAACTATGATATTTTGCTTCCGTTTCTGTCGTTCGCTTTGAGAAATAAAATACAGGATGCAGTTTTCCGTCTTCTTTCTTTTGTAAAAGCACTGCTCCAAATCCCATTGCACTGGCATCACAATGCAATTCTACGTCATCTTTATGATTATACAACGCTAGTACTGGTGCCTCTAACAATTTCTCCTTCAAGCATAAAAAACAATTTAGTTCCTTTTCTTCAAATTGAAATTTTCTATCTTTCCGCAATAAGTCATACAACGGTTTTGCCAGAGTTGAAAAGTCTTTTATAAATCTTCTAAAATATGAGCACAACCCGAGAAAACTTTGCACCGCCTGAACTTTATTAGGTATTGGGAAATTCTTTACCGCTTCTAATCCCTTATCATCTGCTCTAATGCCATCTTCTGATATTACAAATCCTAAATATTTAACCTTGTTCTGCAAAAATTCACATTTATCCAGCCTCAACTCTAATTTGTTCTCTACTAATCGTTTTAAAACCTCTTCTAGTATCTTAAGATGCTCGGACACATCTTTGCTGGCAATCATTATATCATCCATATATACAATTACCTTGCTTTCCTTTATTAAATCTGCAAATATATCATTAACGAACCTCTGAAAAATTTGCGGAGCTGTTTTTAATCCCATAGGCATTCTCAAGAACTCAAACTGTCCTAACGGCGTAACAAACGATGTGTATTTTACTGACTCTTTCTCTACAAAAACATGAAAATATCCATTCTTCAGGTCAAGCTTCGTGAAAATAGACTTCCCCACTAGTCTGTCTAACAAATCATCAATCAACGGCAAAGGATAATTGTCTTTGATCATGATCTTGTTGAGTTTTCTAAAATCAACGCACATTCTTAAATCTCCTGTTTTTTTCTTTACTAATACTATTGGTGAAGCATACTCTGAGCAACTAGGTTGTATGATGCCATTTCTAAGGTATTCGTCTAACATTATCTGTAATTTTTCCTTTTCAGTGTATGATAACCTTCTTGGTGAACAGCTAAACGGTTTTGCTTTCTCAATTCGTATATTCATTTCGCATTTCTTTTTAGGTTTCACTGGCCTTTCAGCATCTACATATTCCACTTTCAGCAATCTAATTAGTTTTTTCCGCACATCATAACTAATATTTTCACCGATAATATATATCTCTTTTTCATTGTCTCCGTCTACCACATTAATTTGAAGCATGCTGTTTTCAAAATTATCGTCAAAAACGCTTTTGCTATTTATTTCCATTGACTTTTCTAAACACTCTTTTGACCTATCGATCTCTTCTTTGTCTAATAATTTTTCTTCTAATTCTTTATTTCCTAACACTTTATTTACTAACTTCCTTCCTAATTCTTTATTTTCTAACAATTTACTTACTAACTTCTCTCCCT